CTTCTATGTAGTTTTTACTTGTTGGATGGACACAGAATAAATAGAGCAGGCGTGTAAAGTAGAGGTCAGAGGAGCAGCTTCAGTTGATTAGAATGTGGTGCTCTGCTGATGCATGCTGGGAAGATCTTTCTCTGGGACCAGGAGCACTCACTCAGAGTAAACAATCATTGCACAATATGAATCTTAACAGTCAGTCGACAGTTTTCCCGCCTTGTTCAGAAAAAAAAAAGTTCAGGATCATCAAACATTCATTATTAAACATTTACAGACATTTTCAAAGCCTGAAAAATAAAATAAAACAGGTGAAAACAGAATTTAAACATTTGTACATCGTTGGATTCAGTAAAATTATTAAAAACAAACATTTAATCTGGGGTTGGACGATATCTTCATGCAGAAAATACTTCACTGCAGTCTCTCTGCCTTTAATACCAATGATCAGATATATGTTGACTGTATTATGAGATATATATATATATATATATATATATATATATATATATATAGCCCTGATTGAATAGCGTAACACTCGCACTGAAGTCATTTATCTTGGTGTGAAAAATAACAAAAATATTACAACAATGCAGAAAAGAAAAACATTCAGATATAGTTCAGACAAAAATCACAGAACGTACTTTAAATAAATACCATGAGATCTTAATAAAAACAAAACAAATAAAAAAAACTAAAATCAGCTGATCCTCAATAAAAACATTTAAAAAGACAAACTTCAGAAATAAAAACAGCTGCTGGAGAGAGTACACAGAAAATACTGCATATAGTAGTAAAACTAGTACTACTGCTGATAATACTACTACTACTACTACTGTAACTGCAGTTAGTACCGTTTATACTACTACTACTTCAAAGTAGTATTATCAAAGAGCCTTTTGTGTACCAAGTAAGTTTTACTTGAAATATTAGTACTGTAGTAGAATGACTCAGTTACAATCTTTGTACTCATACTATTCCTCAGTAATTCTGTGGTATTTGTATGAATTAGCACTCAGTCGATAAAGTAGTACAACAATACTATTGTGTCTGTTAAGTGGTACTGCAGTAGTACTGATGCTCGGTAGAACTGCAGTAGTACTCCATAGCTTCGTAGTAATCAGCGTTTTGGCTCTATGCATCACAGAGTTCCTCTCCGGCTGCGATGAACACAAAGTGCTGCAACACGTCACCTCCAGGTATTTAAACAATTAAAGGTCTGCATTTAAAAAGGATGCTGTTATTCTACAGTTTGAATTGTTAATGAATAAAACACTTTCCAAAAGGTTTGGTGTGTTTTATGCATGTCTGGAATCCCAACGGTTCAAAAGAAATCCAACAACGAATATCCCAAAATTGGAATCCGAGTACCTCACATACCGACAAATAGTTGTAAATTTGTGTGGAGCCCTGTGTGTAGTATTGCAGTACTAGGCGTTTGTAGACTCTGTAGAACTAGAGCATACTTTTGGGCGTTCAGCAGTAGCACTGCAGAAGTACTAAGGGGAGAGTTACCTGCTACTTTGTCCCTGATGAGTTTGGCGGACTCGACGTCGCCCACGCTGCTGAACAGACTGCGCAGTTCGTCTTGACTCATGCTCTGCGGCAGATAGTTAACGATCAGGTTCGTTCTGGAGTCGTCATCCTCCATCATCTGCTCGCAGTATCCGTTATCATACAGCTCCTGAGACACAAACACTCCTTTATTACATCAACAGACCCACTGATACACAATGGAACACTTGTAAACTCAAACTAACCACAATACAACATAACTTATGACAGTTCAGAGACAGCACATGAATACAAACAGATTCGGACAATCAGAGGGCAGCTGTCACCTTTCCAGAGGCTCCTTTAGAGGCGTGCTGACCATCTCTGACATCACTCTGAGACGTCTGAACCTCACACACCTGGAAAAACACACGTGTTACACACTATGTCATACATGATAAAACACACACCAACGGGAAGGGAGTCTGTACGGGTAGAACTGCGTACGGGTACAGAAGGGGCTCCATAAAAGAGAGACTGACCTGGTGGCTGAAATACCTCCATCTGACTCTGATACGTTATTGATCTGATCAGGAAGTTATTGATCCATTTACCTTTAGGTACCTGATGTGTCCTCGTCTTAATGCCATGGAAACGACTCAGGTGGTTCACTGTGTCTGAGAGAAAGCAGCTGTCAGCAGGTGAGGAAGAGGAGATGTGAGGAAGAGGAAGAGGAGAACTAAAACAAGGTCAGCGTGATAATATGAACTTAATGAAATACATGCTGATTAATCAACATCACTTACATCAATTCACCTCTCCCTCTGTGCGTGCGTGCGTGTATGTATGTAT